TTTTTTAAAAATAAGCATTTGCACAGAACTTTAAATTGAAATTTTTAAACAAACTCAACGTATGTATTAATATTAGCAGTTTTTTCTTACAATGTAAAGGTATTGAAAGCTCTGAGACGGTAGTACAATCGTACTAATACCGTACTTAAACTTTTTATAAAGCATTATTGAAGTAACGGTATTTTAAAATGATGATAAAGTTCCTACAAACTAGAAAGATATTTTATTTAAAAATACAAAGTTTAATTTTTTTCAAACAGTTGGTTTTTTTATTTTTCAGAAGGGCCACACTGCCTTAATATTAAACGATTTACGGCCACAAAATCAACTTACGGAAAGTTTGGTACATAATTTTAATATGTTTGATATTTTTATATGTAATAATATATTGAATAATTAGGTAACAAGATTAAAGGGGCTTGAGTGTACAGGCGACCGTAATATGTATGTCTGTATGTACTGCTGTCGGAGTTGCTTACAAACACATCATTGCATGATTTTCGTTACTTATACCTAAATTTTCTCATTATTCAATTGTAAACATAAATTTTGCTTCTAGACGAGTTTTTTGTAACGCATGTCTTCTGTATGTTCATGCATATTATGTAGTTTGAAAAAAATGAAATTTTTACCAAAATTTTTTTTGCTTATAAAACTACTACTGAAGAAATGATAAAGTAGAAAAAATTGAAAACTATTAATACAAAGAAAATTCTTATGAAAATTCTTATTTTTATATTATGATTTATTGACATACATACATACATAATACATGATATGTACATAATAAAGAAATTCTATAAATATCTAAGAACGTTCAAGGTGCAATCAATATGAGTTGATATTTACATTGGTAAATTCTTAAACGCCAAATTTTACAAAATCTGAGTTGTCTGAGTTTACGAATACTCTACTGCGTTTTTACTTTGAGTCAAAGTTTAAATTCTTAAACGTTTAAAAAAAGTCAATTAAACGTCAAAATTGTAGATTTTTTTTTTTACATGCAGACAGTCTGACGTAGTAATTCAGTAAATAAATTTGATGTGTTGAGTGACTATCATTACGTTGAAAATAATATAAAAAATATTTTTATTGTTAATTTTTAATATGTAAGTATAAAATTATTTTAAATCTAAAAAAAAATTTTTTTTTGTTTTGACGTTTACGGATGATCAAAATTCAAAGTCAATTACGGGTAAAAAGTTTACTAGATTTCTGTCCGTAAAAGTTTTAGTTTCAGACAGTTTGCAGACTAAAATCAAAATTTTGACGTTAAAGAATTTGCGGCATACCTACGTACCTAAATTTTTATCGTAGACATACACATCCAACAAAACAAGGCCCTGATACTGAGAAAAATCAATATACATTTGTATATTGATAATATATATGTCTGGTTTAAAACTTGAAAAAACTTTAAAAAGAGAAAACAATGACGTCATTTTTCACAAAGAAAAAAAAATTCTGATTTAAAAAAGAAATGAACTAAACGGAAAAGTTGTAAAAACTATTTAAAACTTTATAAAACACGTAACAAACGCCGATTTTCAAAAAATTTATCCAACAAAACGGTACATATTCTCTTATTCTTTCACAAAAAGTATTATAGCTTTGTATGTAGCTTTGTAGTGTTCTTTCTTTTCAGAGTTTTTTCAAGCTTTATACTCGTAAAGTTCTTAAAACCAGACACACCTAATACAATGTACATATTATGTACTCGTAGTTATTTATTTACTCGTATGCCTTATACCTTACATTTAATATAATATCAGTATCATTTTCCAACTATATCATAGTAGCAAATCAATTTTTAAAACCATATATGCACACACCTACCTACCTACAATATTTTTTAAGATCAACAGATTTTTGCTGCAGTTGATGATAAAAAACCGTGTACGTACTGTATGTGGGATGATAGAGCTAGATTTAATCAGTTTGGGATCTGTAAAAACACTATATTACTATAAATAATCAAACTTTAATTACTTATGTTTACAGATTTTAACTGGTTTGTCAACTTATGTAATTTTTCTAGTTCAGTATGACCTATCAATGAAATATATGAGCACATAAACTTGTTCATCATAGACAGAAATAAAACATATTCCAACTTGGTATATCAATTCAAAAAAAAAGAAAAAAAAAATATTTTTCTTCCAAAATTTTCGATGTAAAATTGCGCAATTACATGTTTTATATATGTGTATGTATATAATAGTTCGAGAATTTTCGAGAAAACTAATTTGGAAATATTCAAAGAGTTATTGGAAAAAATTTATGCAAGAAATACTAGAAAATTATTGTTATTATTATAATTATTATTATTAATATTACTAAAGTTACAGTTAACACAAAATATTTCCCATCGCTTTTATATTCACAAAGTAATAAAAAATAATTAGCAAACAGCATACAATAAAAAAAAATTTTTAATTATTTTATACAACAAAATAATGGTTCTTCTGAAAACCAGGTCTAACTTAGTTGTTAGATTGCAATGCACATATGTACATATTTAATAAGAACAGCTTTAACTACAAAGCACTGATTTTAAAAATATTAAACTGCAGTAGCAGCATTTTTGAAAACTTGAAGACATTTCAGAAATTTCTCGTAACATCGCATTTTTAAATTTCAAAATGCGATATCTTAATTCAATTTCAAACAATCCTTACTATGGGACAGACTATGACTTTTTGTTTTGGTTGCCGTATAACCATATTTATGCGAAATTTCAGTACTGTATCCTCAACATTTTCTAATTCCAATAATTTCTGAGATAATAGCAAAAAAATTTTGAAGTTGTATGGCAGCTACCAGAAGGAGTCAAGCAATTTCAATGACTCTTGTCAAACACATTGGCTTTACTAATATATTGCTTGTGCGAAATTTCCATACCGCAGCTTTTATAGTTTCTGAGATAATACCAAAAACTTTTGAAGTTATACCGCAGCTACTTGAACCAGTACCTTGATCATATTGAATTTAAATAGGGTTCTGGCATTTACCAACGAATTAGAAATACCAAAGGAAAAAAAAAATTGAAAAAGAATGAAGCCAAAATTTTTCTAGTTGTCTCTTTCTTTGCCCCGACCATTGCTAAAGTCATAACAAGGGCGTATTTCTGTTATTTTCTTATCCGGCTTCAACTATAAAATATGTGTAATTTGTAAGAAGGATAAGCAAAACAAAACAAAAAAATATTTTTTTAATTTTAAATACAATCTGTAAAATTTAAAAAAAACTCATTATTTTTTTTTCTCTTTGAATAATTTTTTTTTATAAATTGCAAAAAGCACATATCACAATATTTTATTACTCTTTAAAATGAACATATGTATGTATTTTGTTAAAAAATTTCTTACATTATTAGTTTTATTTGACAATTTTATCGAACTACTTTAAACAATATTAATAACAATTAATATAAATACATATATGTATGTATATTTTAGTGAATCTGAAACAGTATAATTTTTGACAAATATTAATTATTTTAATATTTATTATGATTTTTACTCACTGAAATAGATGGTATGTTGTCGTGTTCTTCCTCATTATTTAACAATAAGTATAATTTATAAGTAATTCACACTAATATTATTTTATTTTACTTCAACAGCGTCAGTACGTGTTCATATATTTGTTTATTGACCAAATCTTCACTCTATAAAGAGAAAATTTAACAAAACAATTTTATTATCTGAAAATTAAGTACACCATATGGCAATAAATAAATTTTACCATATAATTTCTTTTTATATATTGATTCAAAATGTTTTGAATACATAATACTATTTGGTAAAATATTTGAAATGCAAACTTCTTTATTAATAATTCCAGCCCACTTTCCTTTCATTTCATTACTTCTAGGAAAACTGCAATTATATAAAAAGAATAGACCAATTTAAAATATTGTATGTATGCAACATTTTATCAAACAAACTAATTTTGCCTAGAAAAAAGAATCAGCTTCTGTTTGTCATTCATTCGAACTAATTTTAGTATAAAAAACAAAAACAAGTTTTCTTTCCAACATTAAAAGATGAGAAATTTACGAATTATATTGAATAACTATTAAATAAATATTTCATTAAATTATTAATATAAATTATACTCACATACGTTACATACGGTGGGAAATTTCCATTTTGCTTTTTTAAATGTGAACAACAATTTGGACCTATACACTTCTTTCTCCGTACAAAGTTTTTTCTCCTTTTTCTATTTTAAATTTTTTTCTTATAAATTTTTTCAAAGCAATTATATATTTTTCACACATTTTTTTTATTTTTTTTTAGTTCTCAAAATTTAATTTCACAAAATTTAATGTTAATTTTAGTTTGACAATGCTCGGAACAACGAAAGACACTTACCTGAAGTTTTTGGCTTCGCTATGTTTTCTTCAAAAGACAACATTTTAGAGAGTGTAAGCGCGAAAGAAATAAACATGCTCCTTCCTTTAGTATTTCTAATTCGTTGATCTAGATTATAATAATTACTTTTTTTCTTTTTATTAATTTCTTCTTAAATTCTATTTCTTATTCAAAATTTTACTCTGTAATTCAGTACCCTTCCATTTGGAAGACAAGCAGTTGTCTGCGCTAAAAATTGCAATTTTATTTTTTTAAATGTATTTTTCAGATGGCATTTACCAACCGACTTTTTTGAAATTTGAATTTTAAATTTAAAAAAATATGTAAAATCAGTAGAGCTAAAAACATTGATCAATTTCCTTAACACAAATAAATTCCGACAACCCTTCCATTTAAACTCCATATAAATTTGGAATTTATTTTTAATTTACTCTCTGAGCTTCTTGGCCTGATAGATATACATATGTAAGTATATGACATTATTAAGGAGTAGTTTTTGAATAAGAAATTGAATAACAAAAGCAAAAAAATAATTATAATTAAGATAGCTTTTAAAACTATACTAAAAAAAGTGAGAGTCACAAAGAATACTCAAAAGTTTCATGAAAAAATTAAAAAATATTTCAATCGGCATTGCTTCGAAAACCTAAATTTTTTAATAAAATTTTAAGGTTTTCCAAATTTATTGGAATTTTACAAGTCTTCAATATCACTACATTTTATTATAAAAATTATAAAGCATTTATTACTTTTATTTAAAGGTCATTTTACTTTTACAACACAGAAATAATTCAATCCCTGAATTTAAATCCTTTTGAAATCAAATCTATTCTGGCTTCTATAATTTGCTCTTGTATTTCTTTTTCCGCTTCTGGACAGTCATTGAATGTAAAGGTGCGATAAAGTACAGTGATAATAGCGTATAATCCAAATAATATAACGAATACAAATGGTAATATTTTAATTTCAAACATCCAATCACTCAATATAGGTGATCTTATCACTTCAAAAACTATTCCAAAATACGGAATTAAACAGAAACTCATGTACAGTAACCATCTCATTAAATTAGTCATTTTGTTTTTTCCTTATTTTTACTAATTTTAATATTACTGTCTATAACTTTTGATTAACCAATACAACTATATAAATGCAAACTATTTAATTAACCAAAACAAAATATTAAGCATTTGGCTTATAAAATTTATTACAAAAAGTCAAACTGAAGTTTAGATGTCATATAATTCCTTATTTGGGAGTGACATATCTGATTTAATCGACACACAAGTTTTAAAATCTTCAATTTTGATAAACGAGAATCGATAATTGGAAAGGATTGCCACAAAACCAAAGTATTATAAATAGTTATAGGAAAGTCTTAGGACATGCATCACGGTTGACAGAAATGCAGGCCTGAACACTTAGAGAGGTTAAAACTCCACAGTTAACGAATTTACTCGTATTGCTATGTAAGCTATACGAGTAAATTCTTTAACTGACCAACTTATACAAGATCAACTTTTGTAAAATTTTTGGAAAAAACCATTCAAAATTATGCTAGAAGCGAGCGAAATTGCTGCTATAGATTTCTCTTTTTTGACTTTACATGTTTGCATATATGTGTGATATCTAATGCAAAATATTTTACAATTGATTTTTCCGTTTCGTTGTTTGTCTGAGTTAACAACGAAAATCATCCGCCGTTGCATTTGAAAATATTTATTAAACAAACCTAACATACATAAAAAAGAACATGTGTTTTCACCAATTTATGATTTTAGAAGTTTAGAAAGAAGAAGGTCCAAAACACTAAATTTTATTTTACAAAAGATGAAAAAACTTTACGACGTCATCATCTTCTCTCATTTTTCTGAAAGAGTTTTTAAAAACATTCCACCACTAGACAGCCCTAATATGTAGGGATTTTCGTTTATTCAGTTCTAGAATAGTTCTAGTTTGTAGTACGTTCGAAAATTCACTCTATATGCGGTGAAAATATAGATCGTTCAGAAATTACTGCCTGTAATAAAATTAGTTCGGAAGCCCAATCTGTAATAAAGTAATGTGAAAATTGTAGGCCAGACTTCTCGTTTAAATTTTGTCACAGCCGCATGAAACTTTTTTTAATTTTAAATTCAAAAAAATTTTAATTTCATAAACAATGTTATTCCTGTCATTTTCGAACGACTAATTATTTAGGAGTTTCAGAATTTATAAACAGTATAAACAAAAAAATTTTAGCTGAAGTTGCAATCTTTAACTTTGGAATTTTAATTTTAACGACAATCGATTTTCAGTGACAAAACGAATACGAGAATCGTACCTCGAGTTTTTTGACAAACCAGTGACATTAAATGTCATTAGCTGCATCACTTCATGTATAAAAATAAAAAAACTACATAATAATAACAATAAACTTTTGTTTTTACTTTAATTTACTTTTATATTGCATTTGATCTTTTTATGTGTGCTATAGTTTTAGTAAATATTAAAATGAAATAAAAAACAATTAGTATTCTTTGTCACTAATCAACTCTCATCAGAATCCTCTGCATCTGGAAAATTATTTTCACTAATATCACTATTGTCACTAACTTCAAATTTTAGTAGACCTTCTGCTTTCATTCTGCTCAATTCTTTTTCTTCTAAATAGTCTTGTAAACGATCTTGGAAAAAATTAAGGTAAATAGGTTTTTGAACCGCTGTCGCTGGAAAATAATGACCACCGGGATGTGTTAAAATTTCACAATGTTCAAAATGTTTTGCTAAAGCTTTGCTCATTTGTGGCGTAACGATATCATCGGATTCCCCAAAAATATGAAGAGAAGGTATTTCTATAGGTTCATCAAAATAATTTACATGAGCTAAACTCCCTGATATAAATCCAGATGATAAAATCACGAAATTCGGTCTTATTTTCGTCACTAAAAATTAAAAAGCTGCGGTAATTTAAATTAATTAACAATTTATATTTACTATGCATTTTCGCCAATCCGGCAATTAAACCGACGAAACATGCACCTTGAGAAAACCCTAACAAGCCCTGAAAAGGCCCTTCAGCCATCCAAATATTTTCCACAAAACGTACACTTTCTTCAAATTTGTATGCAACTGCATTCCGATTAGTAGCCTTAAAAGTTTTTCCATCCTCACTATTAAACCACCAACTTAGTTGGTCTTTTTCTACAATCATGTTCGATCCATTTTCTTCAGGTTTATCTAATTGTTCTGCCACGTGAGGTGCTGATATAAAAACAAAATCAGCATACTTTGAAACTTGTTTTCTTAGTGACCCTAACTTTGATTTGAAAGAATCGCCATTTTGCCGGTAACCATGTAAACAAAGCACTCGTACCCTCTCAGATATTTCCAGCTTGAGTTTTTTACTTTGATTTTTTATTTGTTCAGTTGTACTTGAAGAAGCTTTATTAAACATATTTATATTGTACTTCAGCAAATAAGATTGTATGAATTCAATTTAATGTTCTGTTTTGGTTTTTAATTTATATTAACTTTGACATAACTTTTGGTTTGACAAAAGGCAGCGTTTTCAAAAGAAAAAATAATCCGCGGAACTTCCGCGGAGAGATTTGTGATTAAAAATGTTTCTTTTTCCGCACACCGACATAGTTTTACCGAAAACTTTTGAAAAAATCATTCGTAATTCAATGTTTCAAGAGAAATTTCTTTATTTTCGTTCACATCACATAATATAAACATGTAAACAATTGAAGTTTCTATCAAAAAAAGTAACCATTTTATTCGCTAAGTGCTTTCGTTTTGGTAGCAACTGCATATTTCTGCTGCAATTCAGCATAATTTGCTACAACACTGCAATTTGCTTCAATTAAAAAAGTGTTGTCAATTTCAATCTTTTTATCTTTATATCAAGTTTGACATTCAAATTTTCTTGCGATTCAAATCAAAGACGAATTTAAATAAATATTTAAAAAGAAAGTTAATTTCATTTTCAGTTTCAGTTTTCAAAAAAAAGAATACTTTGTATCAAAAATGAAATTCGAATTTTATTTTTTTTTCGATTTTGACTTTTATTTGGTTTCAAAGAAACTCGTTGCTTTTAATAATAATATTAAAAATCTAATGGTAATCGGATATATTTCTATTTTTTCATCAGATTTTTTGATATTAAAATTCGACTACACATCAGATTTTCATCAGATTCAGATTTAATTGTAGATATGAACAAAGTGAAAAGCTAGCATAAAAAAACAGAATAAATTACCTGGCATAAAAACTGTCTTTAGCATTTGTGACTTCAAAAATGCAGTAAAAACGTATTTGCTACAATGTATCATATTCAAAAATGTATTATAAAAGCTCTTGACGTTGTATCATATTCAAAAATGTAAAATAAATGTAGTGGATACGTAAAATAAAAGCAGAGAGAGTAGCGAAAAAATTTAGGCTGCATTTTATATACATGTCATAAATATGTTACCAGTGTTAAATAATAAATAAACAAAAGCTAATTTTTGACAGAAAATTGTAAGCCGTCCAGTTTTTTTCTAAAATTTAGTATAATGAGCTATTTTTTTTTAAACTTTGGTAACGTTCATTATGTAAAAGCAAAAGTAATATTTTTGTGTGTGACATTACATTTTTATATTCTAATTGAAAGTTTTCAACAACTTTTGTTACATTTGGATTTGTTCTTTGAAAATGGAAGAAGCAGGGTAAGCTTTAATAATTTTCTTTACAGATAAATATTCAAATATTATTCTTCTTGTAAATTTCAGAAATAAGAAGTGGTCTTTTGAACAAAAGAAGTTACTAATTTCCATAAGGTTATCTTATGAGAAAGAATTTATTTAGAAAACTGTTTTTGAAAATTACTAAACGTCAAAAAGTTTATAGATCGTCAAATTCATGTTCAAAAAGGTAGTAAAAGCTTTCGTATTTTTAATACAACGCAGTGGTATTAAAAGCTTTGCGGCGGTAGTAAAACTGTATTAAAACTGTTTTAAAACTTTTTGTACTGCATTTTTGAAGTCACAGCATCTTATAGTTAATGACATTTCCTGTGTACTTAATTTTTCTTAAATTTCCTTTTATAAAAAATGCCATGAAAAAGATACGTTTGGCAGCACTGAATTAAGTGTATTTTATTTCAAATTAAAATTACTATGACTTATGAACAAACAAAACAACGAATAATTGATGTATGTAATAGAGGATAAAGGGTAGAACTTTCTCTTTTTTTCTAAACGTTAACACTTTTTTAATATTTATCAGCTCAGCAGTCAGTCTGCAGTCAGTACTAAATAGTAAACACAGCTGAGCTTGAGAGCAATGTTTTTATTATATCAAAGCATTAAATAATATATTTGACATCAGTCATATAAAATTTAAAATTAAATATATAAATGTTTTCTTTTCTAAATGTATAATAGTTTACCTAAATTGTTTTATCATTTCCTTATTTATTTTTAAGTATGAGGTACGTATTTAATTATTTAATGTGTCATGGCAGTATAGATGGTAGCTTTTATTCAATACTACTGTTTTGTGTATTCTTGTTTATACAAGATTTATTTCCAACTATAAACAAAATGTATTTGTAACATAAAACTTACTTTTTTCAATATTTGTAGATCAGATCAAAACTGATTTTTGTTGATTATTGATATTTGTATTTTTAATTTATTAAGATTTAAAAACCCAATAGAAGCAAGAATAGGAAACTGTAAAATGACAATTCAAGAGATACATATATAAAATGACAATTCAAGAGATAAAAATTTTCTTTTTTTTAAATACAAAACATTACACGATTACTATATGAGATAGTTTACAATTTTACCTATTGTGCCAGTTTCATCCTTATCAACAGAAAATTCGACGACTCAAATATTTTTATAAATTTTGACATTGAAACATATTTAAATCATTTTGTTATAATTAACAGGAAGTTAATCATAACAAAATCATATAACAAGATAGATACATAAATGCTTAGATGAATCTTATTAAGTATAATTTGAGAAAAATGAACCGAGATGATTGATTGAGATGAATTAATTGAAAATTTTTTCAATTTTTCAATTACTGATATTGATTTTTCAATTATTTGATAATATTAATTGTAATGATTTTTTCCGTTAATGTTTCTTCAAATTGTTTATGTTAGAATTTCAATCTTTAATTTAAAACTCAATCTTTAATTTAGAATTCTTTAATTTCAATCAGCCCAGATACTTACATTACATTACAACGATTTTAAAGCTCGGAAGTTTTAAAGATTTTTTCATTGATTTGCAACAGAAACTTCATTGTTATATTTTTTATAGCAGCATTCTAATATTTGTATTTTTATTTTTTACTTACATTGATTTACCATCTTAGATGCACATACATACATACTACATAGGTATAATATTCATAGGTATTAATTAATAACAAAAGTACATTCTAATTAGTAATATTTTTAAATTATACTTCACTTTCCTTGTTCATTATTCAAAAAGGTCCATAATTATGTAATTTCGCGGTGTTTTTTTTTCTTTTGACTATTAAAACTAATATTTTGGATAATTTGATCCTTTTGAGGACGAATTTCTGATAAAAATCTAGAAAAAGTTTTTAATTTTTACTATTAATTCTAACACTGTTTTAGTAATTAATAATAACTTCTAAAACTTGTTATTCAATCTAGTTAATTTTTTTTAAGCTTGTTGCAAATGAAAAGTTTTTTTAGTATTGCAAAAGCAAAGAAATCTGAATCTTTCTACAGTCAAATTTCAATTTCAGCTTATATCAAAATAAGCTACTTTTCCATACTGCATACAAGTTTATTAAGTGTACATAATTCTTAAAATTTTCTTTATTAGTTTGCGTAGGTTAAAAGAAATTGAATTTATAACACCTGAAAAAGGGAAAAAACATAGAAAGAAAATATATCAAGAAACCTGGGAGAGCGAATTTGAATGGCTGAACAAAAGCAAAAAAGGAGATTTTTATTATTTTTGTACCATCTGTAATTACAACGGAACTGCGGGTAGAAGCGAAGTACAAAGGCATTCTAAAAGTAAACGGCATATAGCAGCAACATTCAGTTCGAAAACACAATCTAGTTTATTTTCATCTATTACAGAAAACAATTTGCCACAAATTGATGTTAAAGAGGTTGTTTTTTTGTTAAATTATTTTAGAACATAAACTATCTTTTACTAGAGATAATTGTAGAGATGAAACATTATTTGCAGTACAAATCTCTTTCCAAGTTTTTCCAGTAAAAACGAAAGTATTTACTGCGAAAATTTAAAATTTCTAATCTGTATAATAATCATTTGTAGTAATTGTAATTTTATAAGAACACAATGCGTTAGCTTTTCCTTAACAATTAACAAACAATAGGTATGGTCAAGGAAAACTTTTTATATAAAAAGAGTTAAGTTTTTTTTATATTTATATTTATATATGTACATATATTGAATTTACATTTTAATGAAAAGTAGCATGTACACAACCAGCTACTCTTTTGAGGTCGAGAGTATTAAGTTTTTTAATTTAAAATAGCGCACTCAAAAAAAGTAGCTCTATTGACGATATAAAAAAAATTGTCTACTATATACAAAGTGGTGATACAATCTCAAGTTCTAAAAATTTTTTAGCTGAATAATAATATAAGTAGGCCAATTTGTGTATTTACCACGTGTATTTACCACGCAATAACAACAACAGACCAGGGCATAGAATTCGTGAAAGGCAAAAACGTGGATTTTATACATGTTTTTAAGAAAGAAAAGACCTTTTTAAAATATATTTATGTCTCCATCAAACTTTTTTATGGTTTTATATTTTACTGTTTAAAGTGTATTTAAAAGAAAAACCTTCCAAAACTTAGCAAAGTTTTGTCATGCTATGTTCTCACTGTATAATAAAACTGTTTTAAGAAGTGAGAAATATATTTGATTAAAATTGGAATTGAAAATCGGGCTGGTTTTTGAATTCTTGATATGAAATATTCTTGATTCTTGTTCACGAAATTCCCAATTTTGTTTTGATATAAAAATTATCAAAATTTAAGCAATTTTTTTTCCAATAGAAACTCGAAATCACATGATTAAAAGACACCGATTTCACAACAAGAACAAGAAAAAATTTTTGTTACATATTTATTTAAAAATACATATGTATGTATGTAAATAAATGATTTTTACTATCTATTAAACAAAAACATACCATCAGATGTGCACTTTTATTACGTAAAATAGGGGACTATAAAACACTTTAATTTTTTTTTACACTAGAAATTTCTATTTTGGAACTTTCAAAAATTGATATTTTGTTGCGTAAGGATCTATTATGTCTACTTTTGGTTTAAGTACATATGTTCATATATATAATATGCATATTTAAATATTTTATATTATTTTAATTAAATTTTCTTAAAAGTTGAAAAATAAAAAAAACGGAAGGTAGAAAAATAAAATGACACTATTCTTTATTGATTTTGCGAAATTTCTGTAATTATACCCCGTTATGCATGCCATGTTTTATGTACTGATTAAGAACTTAATCGAAAAAAAGGTTTACAAATTCGAAAATCAAAGTCTAAAATAAAAAGTTTTCTATAATATTTTTGACTCATAGGTGTGCTATATAGATTATTTGTGTGCTATACCGAACAATTAGTTTTGATTTTAAATTAAGAGACGACCTTTTTGCTTTCTTGTATGTAAAAGACAGAAGTTCTGAAGGTTTGTGAAATTTAGCAAATGCAAGTTCTTCTAAAATAAATTTTTCTTTTTAGTTCTTTCAAACTAGAAAGCTACCTTTCAAATTTGCTTAGGAATTAGCATCACATCTTTGGACATATGCAGCTTTGGCTAAGTTTCCTCTTTATCTGGAACTAGCATAACAAACGAACTAATATTTTAATAGATATAAGGCAAAAATTTTAATTGTATAAAATGCATCTTCCTGTTAGATTGCATTACATTAATTAATAAAAATTTTGTATAATTTTAGTAACAACTATTTCTCTGAATCATTGTACTGAATACAGTTTAAAATTTTTAGAACATATTTTATCTTATAACATTAACGTAGAATCTATTTCTACGTAAGAGAAGATTTAATCCAATTAGAATCTATTAATCTTTTTTGTTGAAAAAAAAGAGTTATTTAACAAGATTTTAACGGGTTTCTAAATAAGTAAATAATTTATATATATGTATGTATATATATGTAAAGCAAATAATTTATATATATGCATTCATACACACATTATTTTATTAGATTTATATTCATTAATTATAAATTTTCATATAATAAAAATAATTATTTTTATAATTGTAACATATACATACTTTTGACTTTCAGACTGTGCCTTTCGAGGAAAAAGGTTCTTACGATAATGATGAACATGTAACTGAAGAACAATATGTAAGTTATTTTGCAAACGCAAAAGTTAGTTGCTGTTCCATTTTTGTTTTAGTTTATTTATTTATTTTTACAGATATTTAAAGATTGTTGAAAATCCTAAATCTGTTTATGAAATTACGCCCTACTATAATTAAATATTTCCAAAGTTTCAATTTTATATCGTTTGAATAAATTCTAATAGAATAGAAACACATTGTCTGCAATAAATATATGTGGAAGCAATCTTTTTCCTATAATAACGGTATTTCCACTTTTTTGTTTGAGTTTTTCTAGTTGATGAAATACAAGAAGTTGGAAGGATTAAAAGCACTTCCTTATTTTAGTTTACCATTACAATCCGCGTCAATAAAAATAACTTTAAATTGAAAAATACATACATTAAATTTAAAAATACATGAAAGTAGAAATAAAAAGAAAAATGTAACTTTAGCATGTATGGCTCTTTAAAAGGTTGAAAATTTGTTAAATATTTCTGAACGAAGCAGTTTCATAACTATTATCAAACATTTTAGGATTTATAGCAATTAGAATTTATTAATCTTTTTTTATTGAAAAAAAAACTGCATTCATGATTTTCGTCAAATGTTTCAATGCCTCGTCTGGTAGTTCTCTCAGTACTTCCGCAAAAATAAGATCAAAACCTGACGATTTTTTCAACTTCAGGGATCTTATCTCTTCCGCAATTTCTACTTGCTTCTCGAGCAATAGATTCTATTAAACTCACATCTGATGTTATTCCGTTTGGTGTGAATATACTTTCTAAGTGATCAGCAAATAACTCGGCTTTCTATATATTGTCGCCCAACTGCCATTTGCTTTTGACAGTGGCGGAGCTTGCTTAGTCGGTCTCTTTTTGCTCTTTGCCGCCTTCCATAGCTGGCGAGCTCTTTATAAAATTTTCATATGTTGCCGATTTAAAATCTTGGAATTTTCTTTTAAGCACCTGGGAAAATCTGTTTAAAACGGTTTTTTCATCAGGGTAACGCGAACTTTGCCATCTACGTCTGGTTGTTTTCTTTTCACCTATTAATTCAGTTATTTCTTTAGGATAGTTATTTGCTATCGGTTTGTTCTTTGACATTTTTGTATTGTTCCATGCAGTGTTTTGTATGATTTCAATAAATTTTTCTAACTCAAAATCTACTCATTCTCTTGATGGTATATTGTTATTTATGTCAATATTGTTTATTATTTCGCATTTAAAGCTCACCCAATCTGTAGAGCTGTTTGTCAAAGTGGGTTTATATAATGTTCTAGCTACTTTTTCACTTAGTTTTAATGTGACAGCAGAGTGATCTGAATTAAAATCATAATTATCGTCAAGGCTTAGAAAGTTTTCTGATATTTTTTTAAGTTATAAAAAAGTCAATAACATCAGGATTCTTGTTAGTGTCCGTAGGCCAATAAGCAGGAGTACCAGTGGAGTGATAGCAACGAGCTAGTTCTTGAATAGCTTTTTTTAGCTCTCTTCCTTTGGTTGAGATGATTCAACCAAAGGAAGTATAGTCACCTCCTATTAGATATCTATGTCCACGTTTGTACAGGAGATCTTTAAAGGTATTTTCTTAATGCTGCATTTTGGTGGACAGTATGTATACAGTACCAACATTAAAGTCCTGTTTAGTAGATTTAATTTTTATCGAAATAAGCTGAATTTCAGCTGTTACTATCTTGAATTCTTCATTATGTTCTATACTTTTTTTATTAGTATTGCACTACATCCTCACGGCTGATTGCTGGGATGTACCGCTTTATAGCAATCTTTTATTTTAAGCCTCGTATTATATATCAAATGAGTTTCCGACAGCAACCAAATATCTATATGTCACGTTTTGAGAAAAAAATCTAATTCTTGTTTCTTATTAAGAACACCATTAGCATTCTAAGCTACTACACGTACCTAAATTTCTTCGGTGTTCCCGTATATACACCTCAGTGTACCTATTTTCTATCAGTTCTCAGCTGTCAGTTCTTTTCATTTGTGGGGTTTTGTTTTCAGGCTCCATATTATTATTCTTATATCCCGTTTTACTTTGAAGCGCTTGAATATAATACTCCCTTTAATATTTTGCTAGGTGTTGTTATTCTGGCTATTTTCGGAGCTCTTTGCTCATTAAGGTTAACTTGATTTTGTTTGGTTTTAATCTTTTTTAATCTTCTTTTTTGAAATTCTTTTGCAACCCAACTAACTCGATATCTAGCAGGGTGTGCCTCGTTGCAGTTCGCACATTTGGGCTGACAATTATCCCTCTTGTCATATGATTATGACTCCTGTCATATGATTACAAGCACATTTTACACATTTAGCCTCTCTTTGGCAGTTTTGTAAATAAGTAGCTGATTTACACATATGTATATATATTACGTAAAGTAGATAATTTACATATGTATATGCATACATATGTATATAAATTATTTTATTATATTTATATTCATTTATTGTAAATATTTTTTAATTATAAAAATAAAATTATTTATAATTGCAGTATTTATATACTTTTGTCTTTTAGACTTTGCCTTTCGAGGAAAAAGGTTCTTACGATGAAAATGATGGACACGTAGCTGAAGAACAATTTGTAAGTTAATTTTATAAACGTAAAAGCAAATTTATGAATGAAAAGTAATTTGTAAATTGCAGTTCTATTTTTGTTTAAATTTATTTATTTATTTTTACAGGTATTTATAGGTTCTTAAATATCTTGAACCTGTTAATAAAATTACGCCCTACTATAATTAAATATTTTCCAAATTTTCAATTTTATGTCCTGTGAATAGAACTTAATAGAACAGAAACGCATTTTCTGCAATAAATATAGGTGGAAATAACTTTTTTTTCCCATAATAAGGTTATTTCCACACGTTTTTGGTTTTCTAGTTGATGATACACAAGAGGTTTGAGCGATTAAGTGTACTACCTTATTTTAGTTTACCGATTACAATCTGCGTCAATAAAAACAAATTTGGACTACGAGTATGGCAGGGTTAAAACCCATTACTTCAATGTTGCTAAAGTCTACACATTATAAACGAGAAAAAGTAGAGTTCGTCGTGTCAACTCTGTGATAACTGTACGAATTTGTTGTCCTATGTGCGATAAAACATGCCATAGCTTACTATGGGACAGACTATGACTTTAAGTTGTCGTATTACCATAGCAATTTATGAAAAATATCAGTACTGTGTTTTCAATAATCATATTCAATTTAAATAGAGTTCTATATATATATGCTATATATATCACAGACCATTATTTCATAGCGTTACAAATGGTAAGGCAAATTTAGTACACCCTTCGAATAATCACTCGTACGGGTATAAACAATTGATACAAAAGTAGAAATTGCAATTTTCAATTATAAAATTATCAGTAATTGTCCTCTTTTAGGTTAGAAAACTAAAAAAAAAGGATTTCAAAACCTTTAATAAAATATTAAACAGACCAAATCTTTTTTCTTCTTCATTTTTAGAAAACCCAGAATAAACTGTTGGAAAAACAAGCACAAATTTCAGCTCTAGAGGTTCTTACGCTAGCAACAAATTTTGTGACTGAACAATTAAAATTAAAGGAAGTATCAAAGGAGAAAGAATTCTGCAACTATTTATGCAGTCAATTGAAGAAAATTAAATCGGAAAATATATTTGAGGACTTAAAAATGGAAATATTGCAATTGGTATACAATAAAATAAAAGAGGAAAGAGAAACTAAATGAATTCTTTCATTTGAATCTGAATGAACAATTAATTCAACCGGAAGAGAATTTTTACGTTGAACAATAATTCATGGAACAAATTATAACGTCGATATAATCGTAAGAATTCACTTGTATTTCCAATACGCTTTCTGGATTCCATTGGGGGTCATTTTCCTGACTAAATTAAATGAAATATCTTATTTTAGAATTTGTATAATTAATTTTTTAATAAAAAACTATATTTAAAATTTTCTAAACAGAAATCTTGTGCTTATCTGAAACAAAAACGCTTTGAGTCTCAATGTATCGCCACCAAAGAAATCTTAAAGCTAAAACGGGTGAATCTTACATTGAGTTCCAATGTATCACCTTTAAATATTTAGAAAAATAAATAGCATGTACCTTACTTTAAGAACATGTAATATACTTCAAATAAATCTAATAATATTTTAATATATGTATGTATAACACTTCCAATATAGGAAAAAATTCAAATTCTTAACATTTAAATTCATCAAACAAATTTTCACAATAGTGCTCTATTTAGGAGCTACATCCAACTATGCTCTGTATACTAGTCCGGAGAGTAGTTTTCTTTTAAAGGCAATGAAACCTTTTTCTGCAATCAATTTTCTGCAAAAATAAAAATAATTCTCGAAATTTCTATGTGTGAGTTGCGACCTGAAGAAACGTGTGTAAAACTGAGTAAGACTTTATTTTAGTCTTTTATGGTTATCTAAATTTTCACAAAAAAATTTTTAATTAATTTTTAATTGGCTTTGGTTATATAGTTAGCAATCTTTAGTATTTGAAGTTGAATAAAAAATGTATAATAAAATAAAGTATTGCATTCATAAATTGCAATCAATAAAGTGTATTGAAAAAGCCATGTATTCAAACAACATTTTTTTATTGTTATTATTTATTTCCATGCAGGCTGGTATAATTCTAATACATCTTATATGTGTATATATTAACGAATTAGAAATACTATTAGTATTTATATAATACAAAGCCACAAGTTATAGCCAGACTCTAACGATAAAAAAAGAAAACGAAAAAAAAGTATTCTCACAATATTTTAGGTATGTATGTTATAAATATAAATTGTATACTGATTTGCTGCGAAACATGTAAATTTTTGTGTTATGTTAATGTTATCACGCAATCTTAATAAGTCTATTACTTAGCAAAAGCAATTTTATAATATTAGAGGTTTTCATAAACGCAATACTGCAAAACAGTAACTACGAAACCAAAACAGTTTATATGATTTTACTGCGCTACTTATGCTTTTGTGGAAATTTAGCAATATTTACAAACAAAGTAGATTACCAACAGTTTTTTATGAACATAAAGGCTGTTTTCGATAATGCAATATGCGTTCACATTTCCAAAAAACTAAAAAATAAAAATTTGCAAAAACTAAAAATTTGACATTAGTATATAAAAGAGCTTTTTCACTTGTGAAAATTCTAGGATTGTCACACGTGTTCAAAAATTAAAAAATGAAGCCACAAAAATCTAAGTAATAACAAAATTTAAAAGAAACTTACTGTAGTAAATCTCTAAATCCGACATTATTTTATTTTAAGTACAAAATACATAGTTTCCGTAGCAGTAAAGTCAAAACTGACATTTTCTTGCATTTGTCGTTATGAAACAAACTACAAATACACAATTAGTATATTCATACTAAACATGTAATTCATGCACATTGTACAGTTGCTAGAGCGAAACAACAAATCTTATAGAGGTGCAAGAATTTTGTATTTTTTATTTGAACGTTTAAGTTCATATTCATTTCAAATCATTATTCATTGATTGACAACGAATACTGCTAATGTATTAATGCAATTTTTTATATTATTGATGGAAGTAAAATTGAAAAAAAAAGATCATTTTTGGGTTAACGATGAGCACGGACTGTACGAAACCTTTTGGATTTGTTCACTGGTTATGCAATGGAGCTCAACGTAAGTTCTTGGGGCACAACGTGTTAATTAAAATATCTTAGTTATGATTTTGTAAGTTTCCTTCTTTATTTAAATACAATTTTACAAATTCTTTTTAAATATTTTTTCATATTTTTACAAAACATATACCTGCATATACATATTATGTATGAATTTATATAAAACAATTTTTTTTTCTATAACGTTGGTATGTAAAATAAAATTTTACCCAATTTGAAATTCTCTAATAAATATTAAAATTAATACAAAGATTAAGGTTTACATAATGCATAGTACTTTATTATTTTTTTTATAAATTGTTTAATTAAGTCTTCATAGGCACATAAATACATATATGTATGTATGTTATGTATATAATTTTTTGAAGTTTTCAAATATAATTTATTTAAAATATTAATTGCCTATTTTTTATTGACTATTATATAAAATCAATCTTCTTTAAATACATACAGTTTTAAATTAGAGAATAAAATACCTACGATAAATTTCATTATTCTTTACAATCAGGAAAAATATAATTATATGTATTATATTCTCGTGCACGTTGCACAAATATAATATAAAGTCATTCTAAAATATAAAAGAAAAAATTTATTATTTGAAATAAAAATGTTTTTCTCATACAATTTTCATGTAAGCATGAAAATTGAAAATTCTAAGTCGAATGCGAGAGTTCAATGTACAAATTTGTATGTATAATCTTTTTATATAATTTGCTTTTTATTATATACATGCATACGTATATGACTACCTATTAAATTGTGTAAAGGAAATGATCTTTGGCTCTTATATTTTAGTATTTTAATAATAGGCATTTTTTTTTTAAAGGTTTGTGCCTCTTTAAGAACTATTTGAAAATTTCATAATAGCATATCTTATGATGCGAAACATAAGCTTGCAATGTAGTGTTACTTCCGCTAAACGATTCTCGCATTTTAAATTTTGATACTATATAAATCGAATATGGCAAACAATGTAAGTGTTACATTTATTTTGCTTTATTAAATTAAAAAAATCTTGCATTTAAAATTTACTGCAATTTAATAAATTATAATTGTAAGTCAAAATAAAATACAAAACCATTCCGGTTTAAGATAAACGCAAAATTCATGCACTACGCCAAATTTGTTTCGCTTCTATTTTCTCGACTTTTCTCTTTTCCAGTTTTATTTTTATGGGGCTGAAGTTTTCATCAATAGGCTTACAAACTTCGGTTATAATCAGTAAAATGGTTTGCTAAGCAAGAGCAATATTTAAATCTTAACCTGCATAAAAGACTTTTGCTATCCATATTTGTTTAAAAAACTAACAATAATCACTACCTTAATCTGTCGTTTAAGTGTATGACTATTTTAAAATAACTCAAATTTTTATTTTGAAACCAAATCAACTTACGCAAATTTGCAATTTTTGCATTTTTATATAGTAAGCTACAGGGTCAGGAAAAACTATAACCACTTTATAAACGTCAATTTCTGATCTCTAACATTTTGAAACAAATTTTAACAATTCCCATTCTTAGTAATGAGAAATTATTTCTATATAGAAAAATTAATTTTTTCTCTATCACAATACATATGTACATATCGTACAGACTATAGAGGATCCTTATTGATTGAAAACAAGTACATTCGTAATTCACAATTATAGTTTGCACATTTTTATTTATTTATTATTTGTATTGTAAAATTAATTTGATAATTTATTGAAGTTTATTTAGAATTGCGTTTTGATTAATTTGCAAGTATTTTTTTTGTTTTTGTAATTAACCTCATTTTGAACAAGGATTGCTTTGAAACAAAAGTGCAAACCTCAAGTGAGAAAAATTTTTTCGTTAGGTACGTACATATTTAAAAAAAAAAATATGCTAAAGTTCAGTAATTATTCAGTCATTTTAATAATAAGTTCAGTCGATATATTAAGGAAAAATGAGAAAATTGAAAAACAACTAATAGAAAAATAATAATTGATAACAGATAGAAATAACAATTGAATAGAAAATAAAGTTATAAGTATCATGTATTTACCGGTAGGCGACAATAAAATTAACTATTGGTGTTAAAAAACTATGTAAGGTAGTCATTAACCATTTTTATATTTGTTGCAAATTTATGTTTCCTTGAAATGTTAGATTTAAGTCATAGTGTTGTCAAAACAAACTTCAGTACGTTAGGTATGTACTGTGAGTTAATTTGCGAAGATCACATAACCAGTACTCAAGTCAGTGGTTTTGCTCAAACTAGAAGTAAAGTAAACAGTTTAACTTTTTTATTTTTTAATTTTTGTATATGTATGTATTAGGTTTTGGATTATGACTTAGCAATATTTTATAATTATATTAACATTTATTACACATACATACATTTATAATAATTGAATTGTGGGTTAAATTTTAACATTACGTATTTTGTAAAAAATTGAAAATTATTTTATATATATGTATCTATTTAAATATTTATAAACTATTTAGTTTATACGATTTAGAAAATTTAAAATAATATTAAAAAAAAATCTGAAAGTTTTATGTGTGGTTAATTCAATTTATATTATAATATACTTATGAATTTAAAAAAAAAAAATTAAATTTTAATTCATTTTGAAATATTTATTTTATTTTAAACGCTCTTATTAAAATTGTAAAACTTAAGTAGAATATGCACATTACTACAAAAAGCATGCTTTTGTAAAAGTTTAAAATTAACAAATATAAGACGACCCTTCCATGTCAATGCATGTATAGTACATAAAAAAAGGTGTAAGAAATGTCTATAAGAAAGAATATACATATAATAATTTTATTGTATTACATTATTAATGTTAAGACTTTTTTCAGAGAAATTGCCAACGTGTTATTCTATGGCTGTTGACAATTTCATTTAACCTATTATTCGATTGTATTAACAAATATTTCATATTTGTTGTAGTTCGCATAGGCCGAAAGTTTACCTAACCAATCTTAACTTTTAAAGAATTTTATTTATATCCCCCTGATGTAGGCTTTTATTCTTCTTTACATATTGAATATAGAAACTAATTTAAATTGTCAATATTTCTAATGGGGAAATGCTATAGCTTTAAAAATACCTTGCAGTCCAAACAAAAAAAAACTAGCTTTAAATACCTTTAAGTCCAAATACATACACATAAACACCTAAATTTATAATGGAGGGAGAATTTCTAGAAAAAACTATTTATTAGCTTTAAACATTTTTATTTTAAATACATGCGTATAAAAAAACATTATTCTTACCTTAAAGTGTTTTCAGCGAAATTTATAATAAAATAAAAACCTCGATCAGATTAAGATGCTAATTATATACGTTTTCGAATGTGGGTGTAATTTACTTTTTGCATGGCTACAGAAACCTGTCAAATGATAATAATGAAAAAACCCGTTCGTCCACATTAACAATATTATTGGGCTCCATAATGTAGTAAAATGGTATTTCTATTTGATTGATTCTATTCTGAAATGTATGTTTGGGCTGTACTCACCAATTTATTTCTAAGATGAATTTGATTTAATTTTAGCAAGATATGGAACTGAAGATCTTTTGATATTTACAGCTTAAATCTGATTTACATATTTTTTTTGAACACCTATCCACAAAATATATGTATTTACATTTATATAGTAGTTTTTGGACGCATAATATGTAACTAATAATTTTGCTAAAACTTTATAAGTGAATTTTAAAAATCTAGTTTATTCTTACGTAAATTAGATATGTTAAAAAAATATTTTTCAATAATTATATCAATAAAAAATTAACTTAGAAGGGATATACAAACTTATTAGCACATGTATAGTACGTATAAATTTATAGAAAGTCGTATATAATTACAAATAGACATACTTATTATTTTATATTACATAATTTGCTTGAATGCATTCAAATAGATATGTATATTACATTTACAAATATTTTTTGGTGTTTTAAATTTTTTCAATTCTCTTTATATCTTATAATATAATATGTAAATAAGAAACAAAAATTTTCAATATATATTAATATAATAGAAGCTTTTAAAATAGTTTATAATGTATAACTTTGTAAAATGTTTTATTACACAATAATTTAATATTTTCAATGGTTATTTATTTTCTACAATACCCACATATATATAATGTGTGTATAACTTATAGCGTATGGTAGTATTTCTTTTTTGTCTAAAATTACTGCGCTAGGTTAAATAATTTAGATGTGACGTATTGCAATTAAAACACATACATATTTAATAGGCAAATTCAAAATGTTGGTTAGGAAAAATAAAGTAATTTGATTATTCTGGAAAAATTTTCAGTCATCAAGAGTGATTTGAAAATCCGTAGAAATGACAAATATTGCATTACATTTTTAAACATCTATCACCCAACTATATAAAAAATTTCGCAATTTAATTTTTTTTATAAATGTTTATATCTAATTTAAAATTTTGTAATAATATATGTAGTTTAAATCTAAATTAAACTACATACATTATTGTATTTTTACTTGTCTTTATGAAGAAGAGTATGGATCAGTGTTGTCAATTTCAACTTGTTTTTCAGTAGCGTTTTGTCTTAAAAAAAAGTAGCATGGAGGGCTTCAGCGTAGTAATTTGGAGTTATCCTTAACACCAAACAAAGAGTAAGGCATCTGACTAAATAGATGCGTAGCAGGAAGTGCTTACGTAAAAATGCTTTTATATTTGTACGTGTAAAACCAAGTCACCCAAATGAGCTACGCGCCTAGGAAACATGTATTGATATTTTCGACTTTGGCAACGGTAGGTAAATTTTTTTTTTGTTTTTGATTGTTTTTTTTGTTTTTTTTTTATTGTTTTTATTTTTAACAATACAATAACGGCATTTTCATAAACCAATGCAAATAATGACATTTTAGTACAAAGGCAAAAAAGTAGTAAAAATGGCTTTGCAGTAGTATAGTAGCATAGAATGCCAAAGTGTAGTAAAATACTACAATTGTAGGATAAAATTAACAACACTGGTATGGATAACTGTGGAAGTCGACTGCAATTAATTTGACTTAATACTTAAAAGATGATTTCACTCAGCCGATTTTCCCAATATATTCCAAATTTCATAATTACAATTTAGTCGACCTTTAAAGCTGGCAATATAGATCAATGTCATTGTAAAAGCTTTATGTAATAGATAATATCGACTTAAGCAGAGTTAACGGAAAAAATCGATTCTAAATCAAGTTCAATAATATTGAATTCTTAAACACGGATTTTCTTAAAGTGAACAATAAAGCGAATAGAAGCTATGAGCAAAAGTGACATAAATGGTATATCAAATTAACGGGGAAAGTAGATATAAATAATAAGCGTTTTTTTACATATAATATAAAGAATAAGCAAATAAAAATTTTTTTAATATGATAAATGAAAATTTTACCATATTAAAAAAAAAAACAGATTTATAGTATTGATAAATATTTTTCAAAATAAATAAATAAATTTAAATGACACAAAATGTATATCAAGTAAGAAGAATTTTGATTTTGCCTGAAATTATTTTCAGATTGATTATTGCAATCCAAATTCATATACAATTATATTTATGTAGTAAAATTCTTATTAAAATAAAATTCATTAAAATGCAATTTGAAGTTTCGTGTACCATGTAGTCTTGATTTGCAGTTTTTATAGTTTATTTATGTATGTTAATTGAAAAAATATAATGATTGCGTATATGTATATTTTATGACTAAGAATTTTAATTTATTTATTGAAATAATTGTATTATTTTACCGGATTTTTTTCTAAGTGTTAAAGTTTTTTTTTTACTTTTTATAGTCATATTATATAAGTCAGTTGCATGTCATTGCAGTTTTACGTATATATATATATATATATATATATATATATATATATACTTTTATTAGCTTTCTTTTTATACACTTCGATATATTCTTTCATTTGTCTTTTTTTTTATATTATTTTATATATGTACTTTGTTTTTGGTGTAAGTATATAATTTATTACATTTTATTCATTTTTATTTATGTATTTGGTTTTTAATTTTTTGACTCAAAATTTTAAAATAAATTATTAAGAAATGACACAGGAATTTCGTTTTCCACCTAAACTTCGCTCTTGTATTTTTTGTAAGTGTTGCAATTGTGATGCTGATGGTACATGAGTCGCTGATGGTGGTGCACTTGATGTTGGTGTGCCATGACCATTATTATGTCCCATTTGATTTGGTGGCAATGATTGCCGTCTGCGGCGTCTTAATGCAGGACTTAAATTATACGTTATTTTTGCCTGAGACAATAATTCCTTGAATATCTACATATATAAACAATTTATAGTTAAAAAAACAAATAACAGTAGTTTTAATAAATAAGTTAATAAAATAGTATTTTTTCTGTCTAATAGTTTTTATGTTCATGTTAAAAATAAAAATAGAATAAAAATATTATCAGAAAAAAATTCTCTAAAAACATTTGTTTTTCATTTTTTCTCCCGAAAAAAAAATGTGACGGTAATAGAACTAGTTGTCTTCAAAATTTTTCATTATATCTCCGTACATGTCAGCGTTTTCAAAACCACCAGATACTTTACTATATACTATAGCTTATTTACATTTTATTGATGTTCAGCGATTTTTGTGTTCATTTTTTAATGTATGGTAAATTGAGCAAAAACAGCAAATTTGTGGGTTTTAAACGAGAAAGTTCACTTAGATCTAGAACTTTTTGAAAATATGCGATACGAATCTGACATAATGAACTATTGTGAACGACTGGAGGTTTCTATTAGAATATGGTATATACATTTTTGCTATTTCGAGCAAAACACGATTGAATTTTTTTTGTATTAATTTGTTTTAATAAAACATTAACTGGTAAAAATTTAATGAAGACGATATAAAAAGTTAACATTTTAAAATGTTTATTATTTAGTATTAAAATTTTAACATTTTTTTCTATATCAAAGAAGGTATACACTTTTTCCAATTGCAATTAGCATTAACTGCTGGAATTGAATAAGTTCCCTTATCTAGTTTTCAATGTTTTAAAACGTCCGTTTCACTTATGGGAAAATAACCAACAAGAACATTTGAACATGAAATGTAAAAATGAATATGTGCAGATGTTTCACTTTCAGTTTGAACGAAACAGTAAAAAATTAAACACATTTTCATTACACTAGTGTATAACATGACATACATATCTATATTTTAAGTGAATAATTGTTGATATTATTTTAATTTGACAAATTGTTCGCCATAATGTTTCTCAAGGTTTTTTTTGAAACTAATAAAAAAATTAATTTTTTTTTTGCATCACAAATAGTTTGTAATTATAAGTAACACTGCAATCATGTCAAAAATGTAGCTATCATGTTCTAATAGAAAACCCTAGAAATTAATCTATGTACTGATATAAAAATTTTAGTATAATGGAGCAATGGCAGCTCTATATATATAAAAAATCAGTTGAAAGCTTTTTCCTATCCAAACAAAAAAAGAAAATTCGCAACTGAATAACGTATTCATTTTACACGTTTAAAACTTACTTGAGTTATATTTTGATTTTTCAATGCTGACGCTTCCACAAATCCATTTTCCCAATCAACAGTCACTACATTTTCTGTCATTTCGTGCTCAACCTGGAGATGTTTAAAAAACTATTAAGTACTCAGTATTTTTTACCGACCGCATTGCATACAATAAAGGAAATAATGTGATGGCACCAAATTTCGCATGTCGAGTTTTCAGTGGGAACGCATTTCTCCATGGTAGAGAAGCATAAACTATTTTTAAAGATTTGTCATTTTATCTGTATGTGTCTCGGTCTGTCTGTCTACCTGTCACTCTCTTTTTGTGGATTTGTGTATGAATGTGTGTATCTCAAATTCGGCTGAATCGGTTTTAATGAAATTTTATATGAGTTTACTTTGGTTATGTAATGGGTTTACATTTTTGGGCGTATAAAGAGAAATAATCAACCACTTTTCTTTAAGTTTTATAATTTTAATTCGGGATTGTAAAAAACTTTCCTATAAGTTTTTTGGAAAGATGAGTGTTTTTTCGAAAGATGAGAGTTCGTTATTGAATTTCTTAAAATTTAAAGTTTGAGTTCTAGTGGTTACCGAAAATGGAAGCTGCTCGTATTGAAGTTGCTTCCTTAAAATTGGAAAAAAGTATTTAAAAGACATTTTTACAATCTTATGCAATATTTTATCTAATATAGACAGTACATTTTGCGGTCGGTTATGTGCTAACCACAACAGATTTTTAATAACCTCTCTCAAATTTTCATCACGTTCAGCTAAATCAATTTTATTGCCAACTACAACAATTGGTACGGCTGTTGTTCCCTTAATTTCATGTATTTGGTCCCTAATAGCTCTTACTTCCTCATATGTATTTGTATCTGTGACATCATAAACTAGTATAAAAGCTTCAGCTGATGAAATTGATAGAGCTCGCATAGCTGGAAACTGAAATTAAAAAAGCATTTTTAAAAAGAACAATCAATTCCAAAAACCTTGTGATTATACACATGTAAATATGTATTTGTGGGATTATTGGAAAAATTAATTTATTACTTTCAATTATTTTAACGTATATTTTATGCAATTTGAAAAAAATTAATCTGAGATTTAAATACATAACGTACATATATATATATAAATCAAACCAAATTTTTGTATGTTTGTTCCTCATTGTAAAAAATCGCTAATCCGATCCGTCATGAAATTTTAGGAAATTCTAAGGTATGATTTTTTTTTTAAATTTCAGGACCTGTCGGTTCGAAATTTATAGCAAATTTTTGGACCTATTTTAAGTCTTGTTTTACTAAAATTGAAAGTTGTCAACCTTGGCAATTGTTTGAGCAAAATTGATTTTTGTTTCGAGAGAAAAAATATGTTTTATATAGTATAATATCAATTTTTGTGTAACTGACAGTTGCTAGATTTAAGTAAGTTTAAGAACAAATTCATCAGCCGGAAATCTTAAACATGAACAAAATTTTGGTTGTAAGTATGTGGGATAATAAGGGAACCATCTTAATACGTTCGAGAAGTTTGTTAAAGCACTAGAATAAATAAATGAAAAATTAATTTCAATTCCTGAGACCGCAGCAACACGCGATTGGTCATAATTATCACGTACATTTTTGTAAACCTAACATTCCTTTTTGGCGTTATCCGTTATCATTAAAGAATGAACTGTCAAAAATAGTTGCCATCATTGTGCATTGTAATTTCATATGGAAAAAAACTTTTTTGTGGCAATGTTGACAGAAGCCTATGCAGTGGTAATGAAAAGGTACTTTTTGTAGGCATTTCCTTTGAGTTCAAAATATCAGAAATTGTTTGAAGTTGAGAAATTTTCATTCACAGTAATGCATTAATTTTAATTTTCAAATTATTTAGAATTTTTTAAGAAGTATGTATATTTAATTTAATATTATTTTAAATTTATATAATTTCTATTAGAGAAGAAATTACTTGATTTTTAAATGAACTTGTAATTATTTGTGATTTAAATTTTATAAAAGATAAATAAATATGTATGTATTTGAATAAATTTATGAATAATATTTGATAAATTTTCTTATTGCAATATTTTTTTCTGTGCTTTTTACTTTATGCTATTTTTGACCATGCAGGATTACTTGGTACATACAGATATGTAGCTATTTCAAAAGAAATTACTTCATAGATATACGCCATTTTTACAAAAAATATAAAACAATCGCTGCAATATAGATGAACGAATGTACTCGTAATTTTTGCAAACCTACGTTATAGTAAAGTCAAGAGATAATTTGATTAGGAACATATACAAACCAAATAATTCGTTATTGAACTTGTAAATGAAAGTATAATATATATATTGCATATATATGGAGAAAAGTCGAAAATTTTACGAAATGCGATTAGCGATTTCCCAACAATGTGATTAAAAAGTGTAAGTGTTTCACAGTCTTTTGTTTATAATATGAGTAAATTTTTTATACCTCGTACGATCCAGATGTATCCAATATATCTAATATTAAATTTACACCATTTAATGAAAAATTTCCTTGATGCATTTCCTCTACCGTACGCTTGTATTTGGTTGGAAATTGATTATATAAAAATTGCGTTATTATTGATGTTTTACCAACTTTAGCTGATCCCATTACAACAATTTTATGTCTAGCATTTGTCGGTCCAACGGAATCATCAGCAGCATCTGAACGTGATACTCTAAAAAAAAAGAGAATTGTGCCAGAAGTTGAATTTTTTAGGTTTTTTCTATTGAATTGTGTCAATTTTAAGTAATGTTTGTATTTTAATTAATTTATTTTCATTTTTAACTTTTTATACTAAGATGAAAAAACATAAATTCTCCATAATTCTAAGGTGGAAAATTTATTTATTTCCCACCAATATTTTTCTTTACAGTACTTATGTTTAGTCTTAACTTTTGCAGAGTTCAGATTCAAAGTTTAATCTTTTGAGAATTTCTTGGAATTTTATAAAACTTATATATATTAAATTAATAAAACCTTAGTTAACTAATAAAAAATTAGACTAAAAATAATATAGAAACTTACTTATAAAGAGAGCAAGTTTTAGTTTTATTGCAATATATACTTTTTTAAGTTATATCTGTAAGATTTTTATAATCAATATATTTTCCGAATTTCGAAAATTTTCATTATTCTTTTGGATGGATAAGGACCAAATAAACCTATTGAAAAATAATAAAGGCTGAATTGAAGCTTGTGTTACTTAAAATTGTAATAAGTTTACAAAGTGCTTAAAAATAAAGCAGTAAAAATAATATTAAGGTTTTTTTTGTACTTTTTATATACTTACTTATCCCGTTTCTTTTCATCAGAGTGGTCATCTTTCATAAATGACGGCTGAAGACTAAATCTTCGCCTTAAATGTCTTGGTTTCATTCCAGAGATTTTGGATTTTTCTCCTTCTTACTATTTAATTTTCACTCACTTTTTAACAGTTTTCTTTTTTGTATTTATGTTTATGGTGGTAGTTTTTTGGTTCTCTCTGCCTTTCTCTCTATTATTTTTTCTAAGAAAGTTTGATTGTTCTCTAATATAAATTGACCATATAGATATAACTTAAATGTGAAGTTGTAAAAGCTGTTGGCTGTTGATTTCTCCTTTGATTACCCTGAGTTTTATTTATTAAAATTTAAACAATTTTTTTAGCAATTTATTTATAATTTGTTTATATATTTAGATGTTAAAAATATTATGTGAAAGGATCAACCTTTAAAATATTTCATTGGAACGATTTCTAAAGCTTTATTTACAAAATATATAAGAACAAAATTTTTCCCTTGAGGAAGATATATGTACATTTCTATTGAGGAATTTTAATACAATTTCAGTTGAATAGAACTCGTTTTCATGCTAGTGATACCTGTACAATATTATATCAAGTTGAATACATAAAATATCATTGTAAATTTGATAAAAAAATTAACTGAAAGTGTTTGCTTAAGATTTGTATCCGTGTGAATGCATACAATTAAAAATAAATTGTCGACCAATGGATAAAAAGTCAATTTTGATATAATCGAAAAAATTAAATTTGATGGCTCACAAATAAAAAAATCTACTTGATGTAGGATTTTTTATAGTTTTGCTAAAACATTTCTTTATCTTTTTGCTAACTAATTGCGAAATTTGCAATAATGTGTAATGTCAACGTATTGCCAGATAGAATTAAGCCAACGAAATGTAAATTAAATTTTCATAACGTGTTGTTATATAAAATTTTAGTTTATAATCATAATAATATGCAAAATATAAAATAAAAAGGAGCTTCCATATTTTGCCTGCTTTAGATTAGGGCAAAGTAAAAATCTGTTTTTTTTTATATGAAGTGTTGAAATAAAAGTGTTGTTGTTTTTCTTTTTGAATGAAGTGTTTACAGATTTACTTTTGCTCTATAGCCTTCGTATTTTGCCAGTAATTCATAGTTTGTGAAGAACTTTTGTATATTAAAAGGATTACTGTCGACAGTTTTGTCAGGATATTTATATAACAATTTAAAAAAAAAACATTGAAAAAAGGAGCGTAAGTACAATTTCAGTTCTACTTTTTAGTCTCTTTTAAAGTCTCTTTACAAGTATACAATAAACTCAATACTCCTATTATTCATTTTCTTAGTATTTGCTAGTTACTACATATTATGTACAAATTTACATACAATATTGATTCAGCTTTTAGCTTGGTGGTGTTAATCCGCTTGAAAAAATTTAAGGACTCTCAGTAGACTTATAAATTTTCCTGTTGAAAATCTGTAAGAATAAAATAAAAAAAATCATATTAGAATAAAAAATGAAATTTTTTGAGTCTAAAAATTTGTATTAAAAAGGTGAAAATGGATAATAAAGTGAAAACAGTAGCATATTAAAGTTGGTTAAAAAGGTTAAGTTGCTCAGAATTATTACTTAAACATCAAAGTTACATCTTAAATTTTCTTTGTAAAAATTTCTTTCTTAATACATTTTCGGAATGTAATTTTTGTACAGGATTAACAGTTCAAAAAACAAATTTGTCTTAAAATTAAATTTTTTTCTCAAATTAACGGTTCTCAAAAACGTTAGCTGGGCAAAAAAATAATTCATAGAAATTGCGTTCTACAGCAGCGTTGATGTGTGGAAGATCCCACAAAACCAGCTTATATTCAGATAATTGCTCTAAAAAATGTTCGTTTTGCGGAATTGCTACAAGTTTAGATTTTTACCTAAAATTTAACTACGTCTCACTCTTCACCTACTTTATCAAAAACATTTATTAAATCATTATCACCAATTATTTTACGTCATTGGGCATTAAAAATTTCTCTGTCACGTTTATAACACGGATTTCGTTATTGGAGTGATTTATTTCGCGTGGATTTTTTAATTTAAAATATTGCTTTCTACATTCATCAATTCCTTTTCCTCAAAATTTTGAGAAATTACCAACTTTTCGAAATCTATATCAAAATGCATCAACTCTATGACGCAATAAAACTGGGGCATGACTATCTATGATGTCATGCACTAGCCCTATGCTCCTCCTAGGAGTTAAAAAAGGAAAAAAAAAATAATAGGCAACAGTCTTATGATTGTGTGTTTCAAAGACGATCAAATTACATGTAAACAATACAGGTAATCATGACATTACTCTAGAAAACAGTAAGAAGAACAATTTGCCGATAATTTCTTCATATCTCTGTAGCTCAGTTGTTAGAGCGTTCTACTGGAAAGCGGTAGGTCTCTGATTAGCGTCCAGTTTGAAGGAATTTTTTGACTATGCCATTCATCTGTTGTACAGTTGTATGAAGGCATTTTCATTATTTTGTGGTATCTACAACCTGCTGAAGTTTAAGACGCCTGCAATTTACAATCTATAAGAAAAACGATATCCAAAGTTTAAGAAGAAATATTTTGTATTTTCAATATTCAACCATGCTGTGCCGGTGTTGGATGAATCACGTCGCAAACTTTCATTAATAATTTGCAAAATTTAAAAAATATTTTTGGCTTCGATGCAAACTAGTGATAATAATAGCGATGATATATGCTAATGTTGATAATGAACTTTAAGGGGCTAAAGCTTTTTGAATAGGGCAGAAAGATAAAAAAATTTCTCCTAAAGAAATAAGTGTCAAGTAAAGATCTGTGTAGAAGTTTTGTAAACGGACAACACGGACTGAATGATGGACGGAGTAAATTTCTGTTTTTGGAAAATTGCTAAAGAGTATATTACGGTAATAATCTTGCTATTACCTTTTTTTGATGTAATAAAACAGAATTTGATTTATCATTCGAATTTTATTACCACTTACTGTATAAAATCCTGGTACCTTCATTTTGCTTTAAAAATTTTTTTTTAAAACATCTTTTCTTTAAAAAACTTATTCTTTAATTTTTTCTTTTTTATTTACCGTTTGAAAAAAGTAACATTAAGAAGAATAAAAAAATTCTTTTATTACGTTACACATTTTTGATCTGATATTGAACAGCTCAGTGTCTGCCCAATAAAATTTTATTGCGTTTTCGTCATTTAAAGTAACACAAAAGAAAGAAAGCTTTTATTTTTCTCAAGTCAACAAACATCAGTAACCAAACATAAAATGTAAATTGTAAAAGTCATTACAAAAAAGTACACCATCAGTAACCACATATGGGTAAATGTAAAGTAGAAATCTAAGCATTTTAGTTAATAATATTTTCATATGCATGTGTGTTATGTTAGTTAGTACACTTTAGTCCTGTAGGGTTCCATTAGGAATTCAAACCAAGTTAAGTAATGGTTTTTGCTTGTATTTTAACACTTCTGTATTCAACAACATATGATGCTTCTATTTTTCTATTTGTGCAAATCAATTTAATATAAAGAGTAATGAGCAATGTATACTTTACGATTAATAGGGGGTAGTTTGTTGAGTCATCCTTGATACAAAAATGAAAAAAATCTGATTGTTATCTAAATATTATTGTAGAAATTAATTGTATTTGTTCTTTAAAATTTGAAAGACTTACTTATACTTTGAAACACAAAGTATAAAATTATTTGCTTTTTGGAAGCGCTTTTTAATAAAAAAAATCAGTAGGAATTTTGATGTTTGACTTTAAATTTTAAAATAAACGAGAATACGTGATACTTTATGTAGTGCAACCAAATTATTATTAAAATTTTATGATCATTGAAGCTCAAATAGTTTCTATTAAATTTTTAAAAAATGGCCAACCATATCGAAATGATTATTGAAATTTTAATGGCATCTACCAAATGGCCTTACACAATCTTTTCTGTTTTCATGTGAATTGTGACCCTCATCACTTTATTTTGCATTGAATTTCTGAAACATAATCAATTTGATTGTTTGGTAGTTGCTACTAAAGAGGATGCAACATTTATAATACAGGGCGATTCAGCAACAAGTTAGGAAGCATATACCATCGAGTAGATGGTTGAAAATAAGTAAAATTTTTATTTGGAACAAGTGTTCAATCGGAACTGTTTCGGAGCTACAGGGATTTTAAGAAAATTAAGCAAAATTTTAATATACCAAAGTTTTTTGGCTGCCACAGATATACGGATGAAAAAGTTTGGAGCGTGCATTTGATTGCTTTTCGTAATAAAATTTGGAAAAGAATTAATCCAATGTGAAAAAGAAATTATGAAACAAAGGCAGCTAATGCATAAGCTAATGATGCATAATTAAATCATTTATGGTACAAGAAATGCTCATTTTGATCTCTTTCGCGTTTGACCCTCTAAAAACACAAAGAAGACTATCTATGTAAAACATGTTTTTTCTATCTATAAAAACTCATATTTTTAAACATTAAATGATATTAGAGTCAATTAAAGGTTGAATGGCAAGCTGAAAATATTTTTTCAGAAGATAAAACTGCTTATATTATTCAAACTACATACCAAAAATATGCAGGTATATATATATATAGTGTGATTCCTAAACTAAATGTTGGAGCAGGGTGCCGGATTAATTATCAACATCTTCAATAAGTCACTTACTAATCAGGAATAGCACAAACCTCTACTTTTCCATCTGGTCCTTAGTTTGCAGAATATAAGGCCTTTATAATTAAATATTTGATTTTATTTTTACAAGCTTATATCTTTATTTTAGATTGCATAAGTTTTAGAGCGAAGGTTTCTTTATTTCTTTACAGGTAGTTAACATCATGAAGTCCAAATAGATACATTTTCACTCTTAAGGTCAATATGTGATAATAAGTTGAATTTTTTTTAAATCTGAATCAATATGTTGCAGAATTCATAGTTAACTATTTTTTATTTAATCTCCATATGGAAGTGAAATAATTGTTTATAAAGTTGTTATAAACAAAATTTGTAATGGGAACTAATCCCCTATTTCATAAATATTTTGGGCATTATATTTTTTTATTTATTCAAGTTTCTTTCTTATTTTCATATAGAGGATTAAATGAGCTTAAATCAACAGTATTGTAAAATGACCCACTACAACAATTAAATTAAAATTCTTACATTTTGCGCTGGGATCTAAGCACGTTTTCACTTGCTTTACTCTTCTTAGTCGTTTTCTTAAACCTTTTAGTTTTAAATGTTCATTCTATAATTGTATAACTTCTTTTCATATTTTAACACCTTCGACAACTTGAGTATGAAAGCTTACATTTAATATTTGAATTGAAAAAAAATAATAAATTTATCCTTAGTTCAAAAGAAATTTTCAGACAAAATAAAGAAAAAATCATTCAAAAGAACATTTCTTTTTGTTTTCCTAATTAACTTTTTATTACAAAATATTTTTTTATATTAAAAGGAATAATAGAATAAATTCTTTTATCATTGTATCCACATTGTAAGGCAAAAAAAATATATTTAATCCATTAAATCTGTGGCACATTTTCAAAGTGAATTGTAATGAAAGTTCATTTCAATAACTTTTCTTAAAAATGAACGTATTTCCTTTCAAATTCAATTTTGTATAATCTTATCATTGTAATCATCGTTATACACAAAATTTTACCAAATAACTGGTAAGTCCCAAATTCAACCTTCTTTTTTTAACTTTTTCAACTCAACGCCTTTTTGTAATTCAGTACACCCCTTTGTAAACAGAAAGTTGAAGTGAAAGTATAAAAAATATATTTAGTATGGTTATTAAATATACGATGTATAGAACTCTTTCGTATTTTCAATAATATACCTAAATATTTCATGATTATTTTATACGTTTCGGATGAGACCGGGAGTAAAAACAAAGTATTAACATTATGGTTACTATCGACGTCCATAGCAAATAATCATATGTTTCATGAGACTTCCTGTTAGCTTTTTGCTTTTATAGAAATTTGGAAATGCTATATTGAAACAAACGTTGAAAATTGAGATTTTAATAATCTTAAGAGACGATAACTTGATTAAAAACATTTCCTTCATAGGGAGTTTCTAAATCTCATTGACCACAAGATTTCCGTTTTCAATCTTAAAGGGTTTAGAAATGTTATGAGCAGACGCAGGGGTGAATAGAGAGATGCACTGATGAGGGAAGGACGAACGGATCGACTAAATGAAAATTATTGTACATTTTTATTAATAATATTTGAAATATGCTACAAACGACCAAGAAAAAAATTAGATTATATAATAATTTTGTAAACGCACAAAAAAAAACCATAAAAAAACAAAATAAGGCACAACAGTTAAGAAATAAAAATTAAACGCTGAAACGTTTAACAAATATAAAATTATTTCATCTAAGGCCCCAAAAATCATTAATCTACTTTCATCCTT